CTGCCCCGGGTATTTTTTCAAGAACAAAACACAAGCACTACAGGAGTATTTTAAGGCCCTCTGAGAGCGGTGTCTGTGCGAAAGTAGCGATTCACATTGGATTTGAATCGCTAGAGATAACATCCATTTGGAAAAACTTTCTCAGAAAGTTTATTCTACATAAACGCAGTTTATCAAATGATAGAGTTCTTTGACAGTGTAGTTCAAGGTTTACTGAGTTCAACCTCAAAACGATGAGCAGCCACAGTCCGTGTTTCTGTTATCTGTTTGATCCAATGCTTCGGAATTATTTATGACAGATGTATTTCCATTGTGTTTTTCATGACAGTGTCTCTTATACAAGTATTGTTGAACTTTTTCAACTATTGGATCAAATAACATGCCTATATATGAAATTTGACACAGAATATCACTGGTGAGATTGAAAAATAGACATTTATTTCTTTAAGTGCAACAATAAAAGGGTTCTCCAACGACAGAATTATGTTAACATCGACTGACAGTGTCGCAAAAGCGATAGGTTTCTTATTGCAAATGTGAACTAATAAGTATTTGTACACATTTGTACCTCACTTGCCAGTTCGTTGCTTGTCTTTGAGGATCTGAAACACCTCAAGAAATGAAGAAAACTGTTAACATCATTAGGTTAATTTTTTTTGTTAGAAACATTTCTATAAAAAAAGTCTGATGCAAATTTTTGATAAAATTGAATGAAATATTTTAGAACCAAAAGGATAAATCACTAGTATTCAATTATAATAGTTACCACAAAAGGTAATTGGTTATCATTATCGAACAAGAAATTTTTTACCAAATTTTTATAGTCTTCATAGTTCACAAGATAAACTCGAAAAATATTATTTTCAAGATGCCGATCGAGATAGGCTACCCCTTACCCCTGATGAGGTAACTCAAATGACGACCACATTTATTGCAGTATATCGTTCACTAGCATTCGCATCTTATCAAGGCAGATGTGTTTGATGATAAGCAGCACGTCTTAACTCAGGGTGATGGACACGTCGCAAGTTAGCGGCTATTCTCCGCCTATCTGGCCTATTGGTTACCCTGTTGTTTGTCACACACTGGATACGAGACGTGTGTTGTCTATCGACATGGTCATTGGTTTCAACCAATGACCACTCTCCACATCATAGGGTAAATTATCACTGAGTCTGAGAATCATGTACCTCAAGCAGACGCAATGAGCCGAAGATGACAGCCTTCTGCATTTTTTCGGCCAAGATTTATGCCATCGTGCAGCAAGCCGACATGATCTTGAGATTCGAAAGTATGGAGGGCATCATTCCACCAAGGACTTCAATAATCAGAGAAACCATCTTAATAAAGTGGTCGGGATAGAGTCTTCGAAGTTTGAAGAGAAAGTTTTGATATTTCATTCGTTTTTTCTTCTCTTTTCGTATGAGAAGAGCCTTAGGATAAGAAATAAATAGTTCTAATGAATTTGGCTCTTCTTATTTCCCACAACGTATTCAATATACCCAGGAGCGTAAAAATGCCGTAAAAATGCCGTAGGTAGTAATAAAGCACTTTCAGGTTCGCGTTATATCGATGGATATCGCATATGATGGATATGGTGACATCAAGTGCATTAGGGTATCAGGTGCCTCACGGCAGGCCATGCAACTTGTGTCAGGAACTTATATACCCATCACGCGGCAACTGCGGTAGACTAGGGTGTTGAAGACACCATTCTTGCAGACCAATATGAACCCATCAGTTCTTGACTTCAGTCAACTCGACCTAAGGAAAGCGAAGGTCAGGTGCTTTAATGATCCGAGGTCTTTAATGTTGATAAAGATGACCCCATGCATTTGCTCATCCTTGTGTTGCCGCAGGAGTGAATTGATCTCTGTGGCTTTCATGTGGGCTTTTTGATGAACAGGTTCCAACTTGGTGACAGAGTTGTGACCACCTTGTTCAATGTCGAAATGTAAACCGAGTTCATCAGATGCAAGTGCAGCTGCCGTGAAGAGGAGAGCGCCAAATCCTTTCCATGTCCGCCTCGCTACTTCAAATGAGAAGATCAATATTGGAATGAAACGCATATTCGTAGCAGCAACTTTATTATTTCCCAACAGTTCTGAAGACTAGATCTGACGAAGTTTGTGCTGAGAGGAAGTTCAACACTGCTGTTACCTCTTGTGTGTGGCATTGTTTCATCTCGAAGTAAATATACGTCTTTCCGGCATCCAGATGGTGCAGCATGCATTCATCTATGAGTTGCACATCCCCTCCGTAATCCCCACATTGTCCTCTTTTCAGAATAGACCGTTACCTCAATCTATCCCGAATTTCATAACAATCACATGCATGTTCTCTTTTACCATCCTCAAGGACTGATGAAGATCGTTTTCTTCAGAAGCACGAAGTTTAGGATTATTAAAAATTTAATGAATAATGAGATGGGTGACTTATTGCCTTCAGTTTCCAGGTACGCCACAGTTATACCCTTGAGTACTTCTGAGCGCAACAGTTAATGGCAATAGTGAAATGCAAAAAAGAGGGAGACTGAGAGAATCGCCCTGAAATTCACCTCTTCTGAAAGTGACCCACTTTGCCCGTAATCCAGCCTGATCAGATATAATGGTGAAGCGAGTCCGCTAAAGTGGTATCAGTTGTTCAAGGCATATCACTATTTTGTCAGGTATCGCAAGATATATGAGCAAATGCAATATGGATTCATGCGATATTGTATAAAATGCCCTGTGGTAATCGATCCAGGCCATAGAGAGGCAACGCACATCTGTCGATGAACAGGTTCTTTACATCCAGTGACTCCCCTCTTTGATTCTCTCCACTCAAATATCCCTTCGAATACTAGGTCAACTGCGGTAAGTATTTATGTATATGAGATGCTCGTGAACAACTTATAACAGGAGTTAAAACATGTTATCAATCTATAATTTTCTAAAATCGACAAATCTCCCCGGTTTTAGTGATGAGAATGCCCCCTTTCCCTGATAACTCATTCTGGAATCGGCCGCTCTCCATCCAGTCATTAGTTGAAAATTCTGACAGATGGCGGTTGGTGCTTGGGAGTTTGTTCTACCATCTGGGCCAGGTACAACAATATTTTTGGAATCTACAAGGGTTCTTCGAACGTCATCGGGGTTATCGGGTTGTGCAGTACATTGAGGGCAGGCTGTCGATGCTCTGTGCTGAAATTTTCGAACTGCACTAGGGTGGGAGTGTCTAAGTTGAGTGGCTCCAAGTGTTCATAAATGCCCTCCCAGAAAGATACCACATGTTCAGCTTTCGGTGGATTATCGACATCACGCAGAGGCTGTTGGAATAAGCGAGAGGGTTTTTCGCCGAACCTGAGGTTTTCCATAATTTTTCTCTCTTGCCTCACTAATGACTTCTTTGCAACCACTAGCATTCGTATCCTACCAAAGCAGTGCTGTTTGGTGGTCAACAGCATGCTTTGACTCAAAGTCTGAGGAATACGTCGTAATTTTGCGGCTATGTGCCGCACTGCAGGCGTGAAAGGTCAGTTGGCAACCCTGAAATCCATCACATATCGGATGCGAGACGCGTGTTTTACCGCCAACTTGTGTACACGCCGATCAATCATACGAACCACCAGGCCTGGATTCCGTCTCCCCGATTCGAAAAGCGATTGAATGGCTGTGTACACGGTAGAACTGCCACTTCCACCAATCCGTCAGCTGGAGCTATACAGCCCTGTCGTCAAAGATTTGATATATTCTCCGTTGAATTTTGAAGGAAAAGAAGGCATACTCCAAATGTTTCTCACACCACAGAGCATGCATTCTCGTCATGTACCCTCTTCGCGCGGACCCACTACTCACATATCAACGTATAAGGATCTCCGTCAGCTCATGCGTCCACTCGAAGCATCCGGTGGCATTGCGTACATTGTCTGATGGTAAATCATCGTTGAAGAACATACAAACTTGTCTTTCAACCCTAGTACAAAAGTTTCGATTGTAGGGACCTATTTCTTGATTAGGGCGAACCGAGTTTGGGGTCTATCGAGTGGTTGGCCCAATAAATCCACGGCCGGCATCGGAGATTGGAATGAGTCATCCCTCCCCGGGGGGCACCTGGGCTGCCTGTCCGGTTTTGCACCATTTGCTCGGGTAAGTAATGGTGCAACTCACCATTGGCCTAAGATATTGGACGGTCGTCCCTGCTTCATTATTTTCATCGAAGGGTAAGCTTGGTCGAGCCCTGTATCCGAAGCTCCGACACATTCGGGAAGGCGTGCCAGCATTATCAACCAATAACCACTCCCCACAACGTGAGGTAAGTGATCACTTAGTCCGAAAATTATGTACCCTCAGTAGACGCAATAAGTCATGAAGTGCAGCCTTCTGCATTCATCCTTCCAAAATTACTACCTTCGTGCGGCAAGCCGGCATAATCTCAAAATTCGAGAGTAGAAGGGCATCATTCCACCAAGGACTCCAGTAATCAGAACAACCATCTTGACAGAGTGGTTTAAATAGAGTTTGCAGATTTCGAAAAGAAAATATCTGTTTTTGGACGATATCGTCATGCTCTGATGTTCGAGAAGAAATTTGTCGGCTTTTTGGCTTATATGAGGATGGTGAATAAATGGTTTCAATAGATTCGGCAATCCTCATTTTCCACAACGGATTCGATATGACCTAGAATGTAAGGAAACACCGGTGTCTTGTCAATACCGCAAAAGGGCTGTAGCACTCTTAGAACATTCCTGTTGTCGGGGAGAAAGTAAATTCGTGAAACGGGCGCTTTGGAATGTAACGTCCTATCGAGAGCATCATTCTTCGGGTTTTACATCGAGTTAATAGGTACAGCTTCTCCTGAGTCTACTTCACTACTCCAAACGAGAAGAGTGAGATCGGATAAGGCAAGCATTATCGTAGCAACATCATCATCATTATTATCACCATCGATAATAATATTTTCATAAGTCAATTTATAGTGTATAGCAAATCATATCACTGAATATTTTTTTTCTATTTCAGCTTCAGCGAAACGTTGTGCATTCGATGCCTCCATCTGAAACTGCGGTCTACCACTGTTCTACAAGTGTTCACCTCAAATTTGGAAACGATTTCGAAATGTTTCACGAACGAAGAATCAGCTGAAGCGAATTGCCCTTCTGAGGAATCTGTAACAGCGCGAGAAACTGCAGAAATATTGTTATTCAGTAAGTTAGTTAGCTGTTTCAAAACAATGGACTCACCTCAAACCGCGCACCGTTAATCACTCTACACAACTTATCCCAATTCACATCTCTATCTGAGACCGATCGCAATGGAAAATATTGTGAAGATGAATTGGTTTCGTGTTGAACTCGTCGTCGAAAAGAAATAATTTTGATTTAGTGACTTTTCGATTTAAATGTCTGTGTTATGCCAAGGAAGACTCTCATCTCACTTTATATCGTATCAATATTCGTATCATGTTGCCAACGATATTGATGTTTGTTGAAATCACAACCGACCTTGGTCGCCTTTCACAAGATTCATCACTGACAGACGTATGACCACGAAAAAATTCTGTTAAGCAAATGTAAAGTTTTTTCTGATAGTACATCACCAGAAATTGAATGAAGCGATTGTATACGTTATTGTCCTTTTGGGATCGAGAGATCCACACTTGCTTTTTTGAAACATTGTCATCTTACAAGTTGCCACTGATTGGGGAATAATAAAACAAACATTTCATGAATATTGTGATGTTATTTAATATGATGTTATGTATGGTCATCCAATGGTCATTTGTTGAAACATAAAGGCAAGCCTAGCACTATGGTGGTAAAAGGAAAATTGTATTTCCCAAACAATAATATGACCACGTTTCGGGGAGACAAGAGGGTATAATGAAAACACTTTCCCCCACCAGAATAAAAATACTGATGCAAGTTTCGTTAACCAAGTATTTTCAATAGATTCATTTTGTAACAGAGATTCACAATTTAACTTCAATATCCTAAGCTTATCAAGATAAGTGGGCATCTAATATAGAGAGAAATTGAAGGCAAATGAAGTTGGCATTCATGATACAGAACATATCATTATTGTATGTAGTGAAGTCTATCAAAAATCGACAGTTCCACTACTCAAACTGAGTAGAGCCAGGAAGATGATAGCTCTGCCAGCTGTCGAAAGCGCTCACATACAATAAATAGAAGTTATAAAGCTTCAAATACTTTTTGTGACACATGTTTATATTAAAATACTGAAAATAAAAAAAATTACTTGCATCATTAAAAAAAAAGGATTTGAAGCTTTATATATATGATGAGCTGTTTTCTCGGGTTTCGCTCCTCCCCATGAGGATTAATTTCACAACGTTTCGGCAAAGTCTCATTTGCCATCTTCTGGTTTTTTCAACCAGACTGATTAGTTCGAACTCTGTGTCTCAAATTTATAGGGATGGATGTTTCCCTTTACCTGCGTTGCTGCCACTACCTGTGTTTGCTCGACTACCTGTTTTGGTCTTATTACCTGAGCTGCCTCTCCTGCCTCTGTTATTGTACCTGTATTGTCATGTGCCGAGTTTTGCTTCTGGGGTTGAGCGGTCTGATTGCTTGTACGAAGCGATAAAACGGATCTCCATGTTGATGGTAATCTTTGCGCATCATCCCTCTTGTTCATATTATTAGGTCGTTTTTCAATTTCGGTAGCCTCTCTGATTGTTCGCGAGTAAAAGTTTTCGTTGCTCGTTAGTATTTTTGTGTTATCGAAATTGATGTTATGTCCTGTCTGCAGTACGTGTTGGAAGAGAGAAGACGTGGTGACTTTTCCCTCCACTGCTATTTTGTGTTCATCTTTGCGTATGTTGATTCGTCTGTTGCTCTGACCGATGTAAGTCCTGTCACAATCATGACATGGTACTTCATACACTCCTTGTGACTCCAGTGGTATCTGATCCTTGGGATTACGAAGCATGGACCTTATTGTCCGTTCTGGTACGAACGAAGTTGATATGTTGTGTCGGCGAAGAATTCTGCTAATTTTATCCGTTCTTCCTGCAATATATGGTAGTGCGGTTGTTATGACCGGTGTATCTCGAGTTTTTTGTTGTTTCCGTGTGGTCTTGGCAGCCGCTTTTATACTTCTTTCTGAGTAGTTATTTATTTGTAGAGTTGTTTCGATGGTGTTCAAAACTCTTGTTGTCTGTGATCGTTGTCTGCCAGCCTCTTCGAACGTGTAATGAGTGTTTTTGCCACCGCGTGAATTTGTTTTGGGTGGTGGTGTGAATTTGCGTTTAGGTACCTATTCGTGTGTGTTGGCTTTCGATATACCGTATGACCTAATGTACCGTCCGGCTTTTTTATAATCAGTACATCGAGAAATGCGAGCTGATTGCCTTCTTAAACTTCTTTCGTAAATTTAATGCGTGGATGGATTTCATTCAAGTGATTGAAAAACCTGGAAAGTTCCTGGTGTCCATGAGACCAAATCACGAAGATGTCATCGACATACCTCAGCCAGAGTTTAGGTTTCAAGTGTGACGTTGCTATTGCTTCGGTTTAGATTTCTTCCATAAAGAGATTGGCAACACTGGAGTCACAAGGAGTGTATGAAGTACCATGCCATGATTGTGACAGGACTTACATCGGCCAGACCAAAAGACGAATCAACATACGCAAAGATGAACACAAACTAGCAGTGAAGGGAAAAGTCACCAAGTCTTTCCACTTCCAACACGTACTGCAGACAGGACATACCATCAATTTCGATAACACAAAAATACTAGCTTCGCACAAGCAATCAGACCGCTCAACCCTTGAAGCAAAACCCTACCCAAAATCCACAAAAAGGATGTTCCGCTCAGACCGATCACTAGCTCCAGAGATTCAGCCACTCAGAACTTGTTCAGATTTTTACTACCAATAATTAAACCATTAGTAGGTGAAACATAAAAATATAATGGAACCATTGTAGACTTCTTCAAATATTTCATCAATGAGAAAACTCATTGATGAAAGCAATTTTTCATACATTCTTTGGAAAATTGCTATGAACAAATTGATTGAAAAAAGTTTTGTTGCATAAATACGCATTTGTTGATTGACTTGTTATTCTTGTCAGTTAATATTAATATTAAAAAACCACTTTGAAAAAATTATTATTTGTACTATTCTTTCGTACGTTGAAACAATTGATTCTCGTGATTTTTCAGTTGTTTATTCGAAAAAGAAATATCGCATACGAATGGATTTCCACACTTGATTTTCTTTTTGATTGCAAATAATAAAATACCCATGTCATCCAAATATCATGTATTATGAAAAAAAAATTCTCAATATCCACACATCATTCGGTTTGTCATTCAAACAATCAGGGATACAACAAAAACACTTCAGGTCTTTATTATTCTCCATGAAATAATGAACATTTTGAAATTTCATCCAAAAATCTCACTCTCCACTATTTTGTTATTGTTTACTTTACTGTGTACTTGAAGTGTACAATCGCGTCGATATAAAAATATATTATCAATTACCAATTTATAGGGCAGCTATAGCACGGTTTGGATGTAATATTATTTCCATTCCAAAATAAATGAATGGATGTAATGTTAGTTCCATTTCAAAATAAATGAATTTGTTTAAAGGTTAACTTGTATTACTTACAAATGGTCACATCGTTATTGCCTTAAAAAAATCATCAATCGATGGAGAACAACATGTCCAATTCTCAATAATAATAACCATTTGTATCGTTGAAGATACTTTTTGTAATAATTTTGAAGGAAACTTCAGGAAAGTGAAGCCACTAATACCCCAAAGAAATGATAAACTTATAATGTGTTTTACATTTTTTAAAACTGTTTTGGTGGTGAAGCTTTCTTATTTGAGTTCAAAATCGCGTTTTTGCAAACATTTTCATGACATCACAATAATGAAGTATATCTTGTGAATATTTCAGTCGTTAATGTTCATGAATAAAGGGGTGGCAAATATTTTAACAAAAATAATGTCGGCACACTCATGGGGATTATGTTTTGGTCCAATGTTTTTCTGTCACCTATTAAAATATGTTAGTGGCAAATCGGTATATTCAAAATTTGCAACGTTATGTGCAAAAAACACGCACCAAATATAACGTATTTTTTTGGCTACCATTTTTGGGGTAAAAAAATCAAAACTCGATGTTCATTTTTGGAGGTCGTGAAATTTGGGTTTTGGAAAAGAACCCATTCTGAGTATTTGTAATTATTTTCTCTACCGAACCTCATAGGTTGAATCCTGCTTTCAATTTCGGTAACAATTGGCTCCTATCTGGATAAGTCACCTGCATTGCATATGAATAGTTGCCCAACAGGCAATGCTAGAATTGCTTCCAGTACAAATCAAAACAGTGGTAGGATATTCATTTCTAATAGGCATTAGATAACGACAAAATGAGTTCAATTCAGCATTCATTAAAATATATATTTTAACTGATATTTGTTTGGGCATGGTTTTTTTTATGTAATAATATCTGTCCCGAAAGCACATGACTGCATCGTTTTCGAAATCTTATTGGTAAAGATTTGAGTACAAAGTTTGAGACTTTTGTTGAAAATTATTTGCCGTCTATCATTTCCGTTAACATCTCTGGACCGCTACGACATCAACTGAATTGTTATTCACTTTTTTTCGAAGTTTATGATTGAGGTTCCATATGATTCATAATTTCACACAAAATGATTTACGATTTGGAACAAGTTGCGCTAAAAAATAGTTTGAAAGTTATTATTTAATTAAACAAAAAAAATTGTTCGTTTCTCCACAAATATATCAATAATTATTGCAGATATTCGAAATTTGGAAAAAGATTTTTGATGAGCAGGAAAATTCGCAGATTGCAAATGGATTCAGTGTCAAAATAGTTCATTCTAAAGTAGCTGATATTCTACTTGTTAAATATTCAGAACGTTTCGATTTGGAGGGGCAATCATAGATCGAGATTGAATTGAAAATTCATTCCATTCGTATGATTTCATCTTATATGAATAAATATCAAATAGTTCCAACTATTGTCAATAACTTTCACCAGTAATTATTTATACCATTTTTCTACTTCATGTACTAATTTGAAAATTAAAAAATCAGAGGTGTACTATCTGCATAAACTATATTCTGTGACTGAAGTGAAACGATGAACTGAAAAAGGTTACCTTTCACGGAGGTAACCAAAGACGCTTCAGTTATCGGAGGTTATAAAGCTGAATAAGTATATGAAAGCGACACTAGCTTCAATGATAGAATCTGGTTATGAAAATGGTCAAATGACCCCCACAAAAACTTTCAATATGTGATTTCCCATAGTCTGAATAGTATATAGTTCGCAAGTGCCTTTCAGATCAAACTTTTTTCTGCATTCGAAAAATATGAACGAGGAAGTGTCATCCGATTCGGAATAGCGTGTAGATGATTTTTGAGATAATTTCAAGTGCTTGCGAAAATTGGAAAAGTCAAAAACAATTAACTGACACCCAAGTTGATTTGGGTGTCACACCAATAGGTGGTTCCACTTATGTCTCGTTTGCGTTTACGCAGTTATCTTTATCAAGTACTTTTCTCGGTTATTCACATTTTGTCTTCAACCGAGGACCGCCTGCCTGATACTGACGATGCTCAACAGGCTGAAACAGCTGTCTATCGGTGACTCTTAAATTGAAATCAGTATTAAATCAGTACTAATCTATTTATCTTTCGATTTTCACGGAATTATTTTCCAGCAGCTTGACTGCATTAACCTTTCTCGATTTCATATCATTTCTAGAAACATGTGGATTCGTTTCTCGATGACCGTCCAGGTTAGCTTCCCAAATTTCTGCTACCGCTGTTGTCGGTTTATTGGTCAAACCATCAACACTGACATAAAGACTTGGCAAGTTGACTTGGGTGTCACACCAATGGGTGGTTCTACCTATGTCTCGCTTGCGTTTACGCAGTTATTTTCATTAAGTACTTTTCTTGGTCATTCACATTTTGTCTTTAATCGAGGACCACTTGCCCGGTACTGACGATGCATAACAGGCTATTATTTTTCTAGTTATTGTTGCGAAGTCATTTCATTTCGATATTTTTTTTTTATTTTCTCATATCAATTGGAATTTGAGGAAGGTTTCGACTCGGCTTTGGTAATAGACTCGTAGCTCTCATCAATAAGCCAAGGCCGTCACAATTAAACGTATTTCTTTATATTTTGAAAACTATTGAAATTTGATGAAACTTTCACTGTTCCTCAAGACAAAGTGAATGTTAAGTACATGTTATGTGAATGTGGCCATAATCCGACTGTACTTTTTGAGAAATGCGAGGACAATACATACATACGAATATGAATACAAAAATACATGAATGCCTATAAAAGTCTTGTATTTTTGTTTGAAAGTCCTAATAAACTATTATATGTGGAAATTTTATAGTTAATTATATCATACCGCCACCAGAGAAGAAGCGAACTCAGCATTATCTCCTGACTCTGCAGAATTTACTTGTTTGCTCATTTGTTTTATTCAAGTCAGTCAGTAACTAGCATTCACACTGTTAACATCGTTCTTTTGAGCTAAAAGTTGTATTTCGTAAATAAATAAATCTTTTTAAAAAGGAATTTCCATCACTCGTTGATGTTTTT